GATGAGAGCGTCCTGGTTCCCAAACACAGTTTCCTGAGCCCCATCCCCAGAGATTCTGATTCAGTACACTTGGGCTTGGGCTTGAGAATTTGCATCTCTAACAAGTGGATGCTGCTGGTCCAGGGGCCACACTTAAAGAACCGCGCTCTGAGATGATAACCTAAGTGATGTCTACAGTTCCATTCAGTGTTGACAGTCTGTGATCTTTAGAATTTGTCTTTCAAATTCAATCCGACTGTGTAACCCTGATTAATACCGCGGCTCATATGTGTGTGCCATTACATCTGGGTTTGGCTTTATAAAGGGTTGCAGCCAAAATGACAGAGCGCAGCAATAGTGATTTAAAATAACTCAAGTTCATTCACTGTATTTCTTGATCACCACAAAGTCACAAAAGACAACAGGTATATTTCTTAAAATAAATCTCTGAGCAACAAAAACAACAGGAAGACTTATTAGCCTCCCTCACCCAAAATAGGTGTCTCTGTACCTCTCACCTCTAAACACCCCCTTAAAGTTTTTTATCAGCCAGTTCTAACCAGTGCCCTGTGTATCTACTCTTCTTCTCTTCAATCCCTCTCTTCCTAAATCTGCAGCTCAAAACGCAAAAAAGAACAAGGGCAGGACCTTGCCCTGAGGGTGGGGGAGGAGGAAAAATTGAATGGGTAAAGCTAGAATGTTAATGAAGCAAGAGAAGGGAAAGGGTGAGAACTTGTGCATAAACGTGAATCACTTTTGTCCGGAAAAGTTGCCATTTGGTAACTCTTTGTGCCAGATACTGTTTTTAGCACTTTGCATAAATCAGTTCATTTAAACCTGACATCAGTCCTGTGAGCTAGGTGTTACTGTCATTCTACAAACGAGTTAATCAAGGGTCAGAGGGTTAAGCAACCTGGCCAGGGCCACACACGTGACAAAAGACAAAAACTTGAACCCGTGTGTGTCTCCCTCCAAAGTCCTTGTTCTTGAGCACTGAGAAGCCTGTCTACAAAATGAGGACAAACACATCTAGGGCATGTGGTTTAACAGCGTCAATGTCCTGCCCTCTGGCCCCCAGATTTCCCAGCTCCTCTAACTGCCACCTGCCTGGATTCCTAAAGCCTGGGCCATGCCCCACGTTGCTCCTTTACACTCATCGCGAGCTGTGTCTGCCCGCCAGTTAACTGAGCTGACACAGGATATTTAGCAAAGACAGTTGCCATTCTGAAAGTCATGATGTTTCTTCCTGATGTCAACATGATTGAGTAAATATGGTTAAGCCAGATTCTGAAAGGCCCTACACATGAGACGGTGGCATTTAAACTTGACACAACAGGAAATGAGAAGTAATTGAGGACTTTGTAGTAATGGAGGCTAATCTGGCAGCGTGCCCACAAGTGAGCCTGAGGCTCTCATCCCTGGTTGTCTGTCAGAATCACCTGCAGAACTTTCTGAACATCCATACACCCCATCCCCACCCTGGTCTTTCTGGAACAACAGATCAGCTGTAGGGACCCACACACTTGTATAATTAAGATTGTTCACAGGTGGGGCGCCTGGGTGGCTCAGTCGTTAAGCGTCTGCCTTCGGCTCAGGTCATGATCCCAGGGTCCTGGGATCGAGCCCCACATTGGGCTCCCTGCTCGGCGGGAAGCCTGCTTCTCCCTCTCCCACTCCCCCTGCTTGTGTTCCCTCTCTCGCTGTGTCTCTCTCTGTCAAATAAATAAAATATATATAAAAAAAAAGATTGTTCACAGGTGATTTTTCTTCTCCTGGCCCTAACTGTCCATTATGCCAACCCAATATAAGACAGCTGTTAATAGGTTCCCTTAAAAGTGAGGTAATCTGGATTAAAGGATTAAAGAGGAATTTTTTTTTAAAGCAACAAAAATAAGAAATTGTAGATGAACATTGATCTGTTTCAAGTTAGGAAATTATTTTCTAATTAAGCATAAACAGAAGGAATAAATAGATTTGACTAATTTTTTTAAAATAACAATAAAAACTTTTCAAAAAACACTGTAAACAAAGTTAAAAGGCAAATAACGAACTGTAAGAAATGTGCTACATATTTGGCCACAAAAATTAATTTCCTTAATAAATAAAAAGTGCTTCAATTCAATAAGGAAAAGATAAACACTCCAAAGGAAAAATGGACAAAGTGCATGCAAATAGATCTCATTTTCAAAAGAAATACAAATTATAAATATGAGAAAAAAGTTTCACCTCGCTACCAAAGAAATGGACCATTTTAGCAAATATTTATAAATGATAATGCCTTGCACTGTGGGTGGGAAAAACAGGCACATTTATATGCTCTTGGGAGAACTGTTAACTGGTATGACCTCCTGGTGGGCCATTTGGCATTATGCTTCAAAAGCCTTTAAAATGTCCCTTTTCTTAGATCCAATCATTTCCATCACTTCTATGAACTTATCTTAAGGAAATGATTACCTCTATATTTTTTTATTTTTTTTTTTTAAGATTTTTATTTATTTATTTGACAGACAGCGAGAGAGGGAACACAAGCAGGGGGAGTGGGAGAGGGAGAAGCAGGCCTCCCGCCGAGCAGGGAGCCCGATGTGGGACTCGATCCCAGGACCCTGGGATCATGACCTGAGCCGAAGGCAAACGCTTAACGACTGAGCCACCCAGGTGCCCCTGATTACCTCTTTATACACAGACTAATGCACACAGATTTGATGTGACTTAGTAAAAGTGAAAACTGGTAATGCACGGCAAGTCTGATAATAAAAAATGGGTTAATGGGCTATCTGGGTGGCTCAGTTGGTTAAGCAGATGCTTTCGGCCCAGGTCATGATCCCAGGGTCCTAGGATCAAGCCCCGTGTCAGGCTCCTTGCTCAGTGGGGAGCCAGCTTCTCCCTCTCCCTCTGCCTGCCGCTCCCCCTGCTTGTACTCTCTCTTTGTCAAATAAATAAAATCTTTAAAAAAAAATAGCTTAAATTGTCTTGCAACAAACATAAGTTGTTTTTATAAAATCAGAAACGTGGTAAGCATTATTTCTAAGGTTTATATGGTATTACCATGGAGTTTTAAATAGAGAAGAAAACCTCTGGAGAAATCATTTCGTCTTTCAGGTGGGAGGTCATGGAGACAAAGGATGGGGTGATAAAAGTGAGAAGTTGGAGGCAGAGAAAAATTTTCTAAACTGGCGCTATCCAATATCATAAACATTGGTCACATGTGGCTATTTAATTTAAGGTCAAATAAAATTTAAAATTCAGTTCCTTAGTTGCCCCAGCCATATTTCAACAGGACTCAAGGGCCACAGGTGGCTAGTGCTGAGGTATCCCACTGCACAGACAGTAGAATGTTTCCATCATTGTGGAAAGTTCTGTTGGACAGCACTGACCTAAATGTTCTACCTCAGGCCTGAATTCAGCTTTTGGCTCATCTCTTCAGCCTCATCCCTTGGTACATTTTTTCCCATCCGCCCGTGCTCCAGCAGCAAATGTAAGCAGCAACAGGACAGAGAACCTATTTGCCTGGTTCTCCCAGTCTAGTGCAGGAGATGTATTATCCAGGTAATTACACACAGTGGTATGTGGAATAGCAGATTTATACAGAGATTACTGATACAGCACAGAGCTCAGCCTGGGGTTTAGGGAAGACTTCCCAGAGGAAGAGGGGACAGGTGTTAGCCAAAAAGACTCTTCTAAGTAGAGCAAAGAGCATGTCAGGAATAAAGGCACAGATGAGGAAAAGCACAGCATAGGGAAAGAATTACCAGCTGGTCAGGCATTTATTCATTCAAGAGATAGTAAATGTCTGTGTGGGCCAAGCCTGGGGCAGGCTCTGGGGACAGAGCAGTGAACAGGACCGGGGTGGTCCCTGCCCTGAAGAGGCTTACACTCTCATCAGTACTGCTGGGGGCCGGGGCACTAGGGGTGAGGTGAGCAGTGCAAGGGCCTCCCACCGCATACTGAGGATCCTGGTTTGTCAGCCTAGCTGCTGATTCTCCTTTTCGGCCTCAGTGAGGGCCAGAATCCCACCTCCTATCTTTCTCTTTGTCCCCCACCCCAGTCCCCATCACTGCTGTGAGACATGGAGAGCTCCTGGAGAGGCGGGTCGTGCTAAGACCCCTCCAGTGGCCAGTGAGGATGTGGACTGGAGAGGTAGAAGAATAAAGACAGAAAGTCTGGTGGGGAGGCTACTGGAGTCATCGGGGGGGGGGGGGGAGGCGCTGGAAAAAGGCAGGGCCGACTTTAGCGAGGCTGGAGCGGGAGGAGGCACTCCGAGTTAAGAAAATGCCCGCTGAGAGAATGGGGCTGGCAGAGCAGAGCGGGTGGAAAGCGTGTCTGTGAGCAAGGTTCCAGGGAGAAGGAACCCAACAGGACAGTTTCAGGAGAGTTCCCAGGCCAAACGAGGGGGGCCGGGATGGGCAAGGGCTGCCCCCGCAGAGGAAAGGCGTCGGCGGGTCAGAGGGGCCCCAGGGGCCCGGCATGTTGGGGGGGCCACACCGCGCCAGGATGGGCGGGGCTGTGAGGCAGCAGGTGTGCGTTACCTGCGGAGCCCGGCTGGGGAGGCTGGAGCTGGCCTGGGTCCTGGGGCAGCGCAGAGAGGCTCCCGCAGGAGGCAGACCTCCCTGGGACTTCGGGGGTCTATCTCCCGACCTTGTCCTTGAGCATTTACAAGAGGCGGCACGGCACATTCTCCACAGCCCGAAATCCGCCCGGAGCCCGGCTCCGCTCGGGGCCTGCCTCAGCACCGACGCTTTGGGGGCGTTTCGTCCGGTCTGGGTTCCCGACGCTCGCTCGTTCTTCTCTGGGGCGACCCCCTCCCGCACCTGCCGCTCGGGCGGCCCAGCACCCCTCCTTCGACCCCCGGCCGCTCAGCCCTGGCTCCTCGCCGGATCCCCTCAGCCCCCCCGCCCCGCAGAGACCCCTTCCCGCGCCGCGGCCTCGCAGCCCTCGGTCCCCCCAAGACCGCCCCCCACCCACCACGTGGCCGGCTCCCCGCTTCCGCCCCTCCCGGCCGCACCCCTCCCGGGCCGCGGTACCTGGGGCTCTCGAAGCTGCACCCCCTGCGCCGCAGCGCTGCCCTCTTCTGCCGCAGAAGCGCAGCGGCCGCCCCGCCGGGCTCCGGCTCCATCGCCCCGGGCGGGGGCCGCAGGCTCGGGCGCACTCGGGTGGGCTCG